ATTCTTACGAAAAGGGAGATGTAGTGCAAGAAAAGATTATTACAACCAATTATTTAGGTCATGTTAATTATTGATGACATAGCATTACATTTAGTTATAGTTAAGTATACATGTATAAATCAATGCTAGTATTGACGTTGTACATTTCACACAGTTAAAATATATGTTGAATATGAAAAGTTAGCTCTTGTGTTATTCTTTCAAACAAAACCAGTTAACCAATGACGTCAAGCATTACAATATAAATATATAAAATATAAAATCCAGACATATTTACAAATTATATATATATATATATATATATATATATATATATATATATATGTTATAAATAAACAACAATAATGTTATTTAAATAATTTAAACTAATTTATTTAGTACTATAAGTCTTTATTCAAAACTTTACTCTCAAAATATCAACCGATCGTTTTCAAAGTCTCAGGCACACTGCCGTTAAAACTAATGTGTCTACGTAGGTCCTCATTTGTTTATCTTCTCTTGCCCTTGGTATGCTCTTAAGTACCCTTTCGCTAACACGGCCATCCTGTTATCGGAGCGTCCTCGCACCGCAATACTGACCATCATCACAAAACGGCAAAATGTTCTAATGCAATTTGTACGGTTGCAGTCTTAAGAGGTGAACCTCCTTTTGCGTCTGTGGCCGACTTGTACACACTCGTAGCATTTGCCTAGGAGTTCAGGAAACCACAGAAAACTGAACTCTACGAGCGGGGTAGAAGTTACAATTCTAAAAAATACAAAAAGGAAGAATCAACATCTTACAAGAACATAAACTACGTTTTTGTTATACGCTGTGGGGTTGCCACCAGCCCTTAATTTAATTGTGGGATTGCCACAGCTACACTTTTGTTATAAATTGTGGGATTGCCACAGCTACACTTTTGTTCTAAATTGTGGGATTGCCACTAATTTTCAACTAAAATGTGGGATCGCCACGGCTACATTTTTGTTCTAAATTGTGGGATTGCCACTAATTTTCAACTAAATTGTGGGATTGCCACTAATTTTTAACTAAATTGTGGGAATGCCACTAATTTTCAACTAAATTGTGGGATTGCCACTAATTTTCAACTAAATTGTGGGATTATTACAATTGGAATACGTACTTTTATTCAGTGGATGTCTATCGTCTTAAGTGAGCGTGGGCGGCCACAGTAGTTCGTCGTCCTTGTTTGTGCAACAAATATCTCTCGTTGGGTAGTAAGCATCGTATTGTATATGGCCCTTTATATTTTGCCTTCAATTTTCTTTCTTGGTATGCCAACCTACGAGGGCGATATGCTACTGGAGTACTGTCTTTTAGGTTAACAACCATTTCACCGGTAGTTATAAGGTCTGGTGTTTTTATTTTTATCGTAGAATAACATATCTTCAATTTGCACTTTTAGTGTCTCGTCCAACTCTGTTTGATTTATCTTAACACTGTGCGCATTTTTAACTGTTAAAATTGATGGCATGTTGAGAGGTGCATGTTGTAATTCGATACCGCTTCCACTTTTCTCGATTTGTAAACAAGGTCTACAACGTCCCACCCGATAATTAGGTCAATGCCTTTAGGGATGGAACCATCTGGTACAATATAATAATTAATCTCTAAAGTTACAGCTGGCATAACCGTAATGACGTCACACACACATATAGCGTACACAAGTCGTGTCCCTAATCCCGAAAAAGCTCGCACTGTTCGATTGGTTTGATCGTACCGTTTATTGTTTTTACAGCCGAATATTTTATAATTGATACGTCGGAACCAGTATCGATTAAATAAGAAAAAGACGGCACTTTCTCACTGATTAAAATTGTTGCTATTGGGGTGGTGTCCAGGTGGCGTCATTTTTTTATAAGCAACGCTTCTTTTGGCTTGCCATGCTTAGTCCAGCAACTTTTCTCTGTATGGCCCAACCTGTTCCAGTAGTCGCAAGTCGGGGTCTTGGAACTATTCGGCCTATCCTGTTCTACTTCTTTAGATTTTCTGCTTCGGCATTCGTGTTGCAGATGTCCGTGACGGCCACATTTAAAACATGAACGTTTTAACATTTTGTTGGGTGTACCGCTATCTGACCCGCGTCTGTCAACGTCTGTCTCTCCCTTGTGGGCTCCATCACGCCCTGAGATCCATGACCCTTTTGGTGGCCGGCGTGCGTCAAACTCACTTAATCTTAACATAAGCTCACGTTCAGAGTCCGGCTTCTGTATGTGCAGCGATGCACGTGCTTCAGCATGGTCCAATCCGTACTCAACCATACTTAGAACCTTATTCCACGGTAATTTATCGTAGAATCGCTGTATGCTGCGAAGCTTTTGGTGTCCATAATCACACAAAGAGTCGCACTCTTTGCTTTGTAGTGTCGAAGCTTTAAACGCTCGGGCACCTGGTGTCTCTTTGTCGGGAAAAGCAGTGATAAGGTCGGCACAAAAGTTATTCCAGGATCGCCGTAACGGTCTCCAGTTACAGCAGTACCGATAACCGCGATTCTTCAGCGCATCGCTGGCCTTCGCAATCATTAAATTATCGCTGACATCCTGTTCCTCCTTCAGTTTTGTTGCGTCCTCCAACCATTCGTTGATTGCGTATGCACTGTTATCGGGGTCATAGCTGGTGAGCTTGAATTTTATGTTGCCCTGTCCCGATGTTGACACCTGCGTCCTTTGTTCACCAGGTGAGATCAAACTTGGCGTGAGCATTCCTGACGCTTGCGCATTTGATCCGTCTTCTGTGACTAAACAGGGCGTTGATTCTGCTGACGCTTGCGCACTGGCTCCGTCCGTTGAGACAAAGCAGGGCGTTGGTACGGAGGACGCCGATGTCTGTAGTTTGGCGTATTTTAATAACTCCGCAATCTGTAGCTGTTGCGAAACTACCATGTTTTCTAACCTCTCTTGCCATTGTTCCTTGATGGGTCTGGAACTTGGCGAAGCAACACCATCCTCAGAATTCACCACTTCCGACACAATTGTGTTTACACTAATTTCATCCATTTCTGTAGGTCACTGCACAGATTACTGTCCCACTTCTGATGTTATAAATAAACAACAATAATGTTATTTAAATAATTTAAACTAATTTATTTAGTACTAGAAGTCTTTATTCAAAACTTTACTCTCACAATATCAACCGATCGTTTTCAAAGTGCCGTTAAAACTAATGTGTCTACGTAGGTCCTCATTTGTTTATCTTCTCTTGCCCTTGGTATGCTCTTAAGTACCCTTTCGCTAACATATATAAAATCCAGACATATTCACAAATTACAATAACGCAATCTATAATTATAAACTAAACTTATTAATAAAATACAATACATATAATTAATAATTTCCGTGTTATATTTTTATGTTTTACTTTTTTATTTATATCTTTTTCTTTATGTAATGTTTTTTATAGCGAATCTGCTAAATAAAGATTATTATTATTACATCTAAACAGCAAATTTTATTACTCTTGTTTCCTGACATGTATACGAAAAGTGGAATATTTTTAAAAGGGTACAAGGTGGGACTAGTTATTAATGAATTTGAGTAGCAGAATATTGGTGCTTTTAAATTAAAATTAATTTATTATCGGTTCTCACCCTGATGTATATCTAAACTATTCGCATAATATGTAACTTCTAAACGATTTGACCTATTAAGGTCATATTCCCACAATATATTGGTTTTGTCGAGACGATGCACAGAGTGTTAGGTATTTAAGCAATCTAGCTGGCCAAAAGTCCAAATGTTAAAATACAGAAAATACAAAAAACACTTCTAATAGAATCTCCCATAATTAAAGTCCAAGATAGATGCCTATGATCACCTCTCTATCCTCAGATGACTTTACCCCGGCATGCCTCGCCGAGATATCGGTTTGTCTTACTAGTTACTTGTACGTGATCCCAGTGACAAAGCTATTTTTAGAACCTTTTTTTTGTTGCCTCTTATTGTGACAAGTGTGGTTTTAGTGATTACCATTACATTGATATTAATTTTTATATTTATCATACTTAATAATAGTTTTATTGGCATTATTTAAAACCTAATTTTTAGGTGTTTAATTTTAAGCATTTTTAACATATTATGTTAAAAATGCTTAAAATTAAACACCTAAAAATTAGGTTTTAAATAATGCCAATAAAACTATTATTAAGTATGATAAATATAAAAATTAATATCAATGTAATGGTAATCACTAAAACCACACTTGTCACAATAAGAGGCAACAAAAAAAAGGTTCTAAAAATAGCTTTGTCACTGGGATCACGTACAAGTAACTAGTAAGACAAACCGATATCTCGGCGAGGCATGCCGGGGTAAAGTCATCTGAGGATAGAGAGGTGATCATAGGCATCTATCTTGGACTTTAATTATGGGAGATTCTATTAGAAGTGTTTTTTGTATTTTCTGTATTTTAACATTTGGACTTTTGGCCAGCTAGATTGCTTAAATACCTAACACTCTGTGCATCGTCTCGACAAAACCAATATATTGTGGGAATATGACCTTAATAGGTCAAATCGTTTAGAAGTTACAAGATCACTAACGTTTGCAGACGCACCAACGATTATATATTAAGATTATATTAAGATTAATAAATAATCTTAAAAATATATAAATCTTTTTGTTTATACGTTAAATTAAAAAAAATTAACAACAATTATTTTGACTATAAATAGCAAATTAAATACGTTTAATATTTCCATCACGAAGTAATGATAAACAATCTTAATTATTAACATTGATTTTAAAATATATAATACATATTATTTAAATTCCAAACAATTTTACCACAAAATCGCAATGATCCTATTAATATTATAATTAATTATAATTTTAATATTACCATTGCGATTTTGTCAATAGACGAATACTGCCATATTCAAATTGTTTGTAAAATTGTTAAATTAGTTGAATAAAACACATCTTGAAATTTTATAATAAATGTTATGTTATGACAATATTTTATAGTAAAAGTATACATAAAATTATGTTTTTTTTTACAGATATCCAGATATGCGAACGGTTACAAACTGTTTTGTACTGAATTTGGCAGCTGCAGATTTATTATTTGCGTTTACAATACCTGCAGTGGCTTATACGAGACTTGTTGCAGTATGGACCCTGGGAAATGCGGCCTGCAAAATTGTCCCTTACGTTCAGGTATGCATTTACATTGTATTTCATTTTGGTTGGCGACAATTCGGTACCTATTTATTTAAAAATATTCCGATTAAAAAAATAATTTAGTTTGTAGTACTCGAAAAGCTCTAATCTTTCGAAAAAATTAACATATATGTTAGGTATACCTATGTAATTTTTATGGATTTCTTTGAGGCTGGCAGACTCGGCGCCACCACTAATGTAACATTAATTTCGTATAATATAGATATAGATTAGGGTGATTCATTTCCGCAAAGTTTTTGTTTTTTTTTCGGTGCTCAAGCAAAATATTAATCTACCTATAGAAAAAAAAAATTTCACCAAGGTAGAGCTCTTAATATCAATTTTAAGTAATTGCAGTTTAAATTTAAAGTTTTCCCATTTAAAATGCATGTAAAAAAAATGGTTTTTTTTTTCAAATTTCTAATGCTTACCCACCTTTGACAATATTGCAAATCGGTTTAATACACCTTATGGGGAATTTCACGCTCTTTAAAATTGCTTTTGAGTTTTTTTTTGTAACTCGCATTGGTTCACCAGTAGGAGTCGTCAAAGGACAGTTTTTGAAAAAAATCTTTTTTTTTTTATTTTTTCGAGCAAATTGCCAAAAGTAGTGAGAAAAAAGGGCTGATTCATAAAAAAAAAGTTATCCAACCAATATTTAATGAATTTACTGCCATTTTTATAACTGAAAACGTAAGAAATTGATAAATACCAACCTATAATGTTATTTAGATTGATTTTTTCTATTTATTATCATTATATTTCCCTCACTCATAATGAATATGAAAACAACACATAAATTCATAAAAAAAACAACAAAACTTTAATCGGAATATACAGAAGGTTATGTAACATATTTCATATTTCGCTTCAAAAAATTAAATAATCTTCATTTATATTTTTTTGCTATTTTTTTATGAATTTATCTGTTGTTTTCATATTCATTATAAGTGAGAAATTAATAATTTTAAAAAACTTCTTAGTGTAGGGAAATATAATGATAATAAATAGAAAAAATCAATCTAAATAACATTATGAGTTGGTAATTATCAATTTCTTACGTTTTCAGTTATAAAAATGGCTGTAAATTCATTAAATATTGGTTGGATAACTTTTTTTTATGATTCAGCCCTTTTTTCTCCCTACTTTTTGCGGTTTGTTAGAAAAAAATTTTAAAAAAAAAAACGATTTTTTTCAAAAACTGTCCTTTGACGACTCCTACTGGTGAATCAATACGAGTTACAAAAAAAAACTCAAAAGCAATTTTAAAGAGCGTGAAATTCCCCATAAGGTGTATTAAACCGATTTGCAATATTGTCAAAGGTGGGTGGGTAAGCATTAAAAATTTGAAAAAAAAATATATTTTTTACATGCATTTTAAATGGGAAAACTTTAAATTTAAACTGCAAGTACTTAAAATTGATATTAAGAGCTCAAACTTGTTGAGAATTTTTTTTTCTATATGCAGATTAATATTTTGCTTGAGCACCGAAGAAAACAAAAACTTTTCTCCCTACTTTTTGCGGTTTGTTAAAAAAAATTTAAAAAAAAAAACGATTTTTTTCAAAAACTGTCCTTTGACGACTCCTACTGGTGAACCAATGCGAGTTACAAAAAAAACCTCAAAAGCAATTTTAAAGAGCGTGGAATTCCCCATAAGGTGTATTAAACCGATTTGCAATATTGTCAAAGGTGGATAAGCATTAGAAATTTGAAAAAAAAACATTTTTTTTACATGCATTTTAAATGGGAAAACTTTAAATTTAAACTGCAAGTACTTAAAATTGATATTAAGAGCTCAAACTTGTTGAGAATTTTTTTTTCTATATGCAGATTAATATTTTGCTTGAGCACCGAAGAAAACAAAAACTTTGCGGAAATGAATCACCCTAATATAGATATTATCTTTAATTTGCGTGATTCCTGTTTACCTCGTAAACATGTTTTCCTGGTAAGCAATAGACCACTATTTTTACAAAATTAAAGTTAATTAACAAAATCTTAATAATATTTAACATATTAATAATAATAAAAATAATACCTAATAGTAATATTTACATTAGGTATATATATATACTTTATAAGTGGTGTTCTACGAGACCAGCGTCAGCGCCAACGCCGATGCCAACTGAAAGTTTATAAATCGAGCTTTAAAACTCTTAACTAGCATAGGGTAGAGACCATGATAGAGACTTTTTATATTTTTGACAAAAAACGTCAATAAAATATAGCATAGGGAAATGAATAGGAAAATTCATAATAGCAACAGGGAATTAAAGGGAATTTTTACATCACTGGATAGGGATTTATTTTTTACCCAACTGGCAACACTGCCTCAAACCTGTTGCTATTTGACACTCGAACTTTACGGGCCATGGTATACGCCAGATCCGTTTTTAATAAGTTACGAAGCTTTTAAACATAAACGTTCATATGAACTTTTTCTCGTATTTTTGTCAGTTAGAAACGCTTCGCGACGCCTATTAAATTAAAACCTAAAACACTGTATGTGTATTATTATTACAGGGTGTCTTATTTATTATTATTACTTTCTTTAACAAAATGTGAAACCTAATTTTAATATTATAAAATTATTTACTTCATTTTATTTTAATGGTTTTTATGTTTAAATATTTAATAGATACAAACATTTATTGGTTCATATTTAATAAAATTTGTTTATGACATAATTAAATTTGAAGTTGTTGGTTGGATTTATTAAATCAGTTTATTTATTTTTTTGATATATTCGAATTCAAAATGATTTACGCAAAATAATAAATCATATACCTGCCTAATACAGTTTTAATCAACTCGTTAGTTTAATTTTGTTTTTTTAGTTTGTTTCAGGCATTGTCCTACTTTGGACATTGGCTCTCATTAGTATAGACAGATACAGGTGTATTGTAGTACCACCATATACGTCTAAATTGTCCGTGGGACAAGCCGCACTTTACTCCACTCTTATATGGATAGCGACTGTGGTTATATTTATTCCTGTGCTTCTTTGGTTTCGAGAAATAACCAGCAACAAAGGTGACACCGTTTGCACCTTAATCTTCCCAATGTCAGACAACGTTAACTATTCCTTATGTTTCATTATACCTGTCCTGTTATTTGCGTGTTTATTGCCAATGATTCTGTTGATTTTTTATTACCAAAGAATCTTCAAGAAAATAATTTCGACCAAAAACGCATGGGCCACTTCTTGTGTAATGCTAAGCGCCATCGAGGCTGGAGACTGCACCAGAGGCCAAGGACGCAGACAAAGCGAGCTAAGTTTATCGGACATATTTGTTCCCTGGTCCAGAAAATTTTCCACTCAATATTCACCATCCTCGCCCAATGGGTCAACAAAGAACACTCGCCACGGTTCCCTGTCCCAGCACGAAGAAGTTCGCATGAATCGTCACATTAAAGTCGTGCGAGTTCTGTTCCTGAACGTTCTGGTCGTGTTAATAATGTGGCTCCCCATTACTATTATCATGCTGCTTATTTACATCGACGGCAGAAGGTTAAATGACGACAAGAATTACTTTCTGAGCTCGACCCATTTCATAGTGGCGCTTATAATCGCTTTTTTGAATACGCTCGTCAATCCTGTTCTGTACGGTTTATTATCGGACAACTTCAGAACTTGTCTGATACGCATTTGGTGCCGCAAGAAGGAGAATAATGAGGCGATGGCCAACGATCCAGTCACTCCGTCCAGCGGCAGACAAAATCCAAAACCGCCGAAAAAACAGAGCATCATTAACTCAGTTACCGAGGCTCAGAACGAGGGACCGTGAATTTTTTATTAAGTCTGTACAGGGTTAAAAGGGCCATAATTCTATAGTTGGTATATTGTTCAAATATAAAATATAATATGTACCTACCGTGAAAATTATGCGCCTGGAGGGTATTTACACGGGTGATATAATTAATATTAATTAAACTAGAAGTATTTTGTAGATTATGAATTTATAATTACACTTTGTCCAGCGGATCTGTGCGTTTTATAGCCGTATAAATAAGATTCCGGAATATAAACTTAAATTAGTGGCTCACCTAAAAGATTTACGTCGTTTTTGAAACGGACCAATTATAATTATAATTATAAGAGCCACAAACTCATTTTTCGACGGCTATAAATCGCACAGATCCGGTGGGTGAAGTGTTATTATATGCCTAAGATTGATAAATTGCAATACTGTGCAATACTGCCAAACAAAAGTCAAAACAGGTCTTATTATCATTGTGCAACATACTTCTTTAATTGGAAAAATCTGCACAATTAAAAAAAAAACTAGATAAGTAGAAAATAACAACTTTTCAGGGAAGAAGTTTATAGTATATTAATTAATACTTATAAGTATTAAGAACAGTCTTGAAACTTGTTTTATAGTCTTCCCTAGATACTCATTTGTATTAAACAATCATTTCCATTTAATAGGCCATTAAGACACTCGCACTCATTATGACAGGCGCCTTCGGTTAATGTCATAATTCTCACGCTCATGTCTTAATAGCATAAAATAATATTATCTTTAGTGAAAATCGAGTTCCTTTGACATTTTTTTAACCTGTCATCTGCCAAGGGTGGATCAATCAGAGCGCTTTATTTGTCAATTTTTGATCAATCAAAAGTAATTGTTGCCAATATTGGACTAGTACAAATTGCAGCAAATACTGTACAGTACCAAGAGGTAAATATTTTTGACACTTGGAACTTTTTTATTTCTATTATTTTGTTTTAAAATTAAGTGTATAATTTAAAATTTTTGATTCGATAAAATTGTCCTTCGAATACCACTCGTAATCAAAAGTCGAATATTTTGAGGTGTGATATAGCGAATATTGTTTGTGGAAAACACATACCTACACTGTTTAAAATATCTGCGGTGTAAAGAGTAATCCTAAAATGGTGTCAAAATTCAACACCAAGTGGTGTTAATATAACACCATGAATTAGGGTTGAAAATGAACACCAAAACGGTGTTTATCTAAAAATATTTGAAAAGTGCACCTACCCAGAAAAAAAGGAATAGTTCATTTAACCCAGATGACCCATAAGTAGTTATATTTTTGTGGATCACGTGATGTTCTTAAATCTCGCCTCTGTTGACTTACATGAAGAATATATAAACTTAGGTAATCCTTTGCTTTGGTGTGACACTACAAGTTGTTCGATACTAAAGAGACCTTAAATAGGTGGAAACAGCTGTCAATACTTGAAGTATTTTAAGTTAGTGGAACGCACTAAAAACATTATCTCTAGCGAGTTGAAGGTTTCATTTTCTGGAATAATACCACTGGTAATATACTAGTAATGCGTCAAGGAACTTCCTGTTTCCTTTTTTTTTTCCTTTCTTCTGTGTAGTATGATAATTTGACCACAAACACATAATATTTAACACTGAAAAGGAGTTCAATTTACACCAGGTAAAATTTATTTTAATACTGTGTGAAAGTTAAATTAACACCATTTTAGTATTTGAATTTACACCGCCAACGAACCTTATTTAACACCATTTTAGTATTTGAATTGACACCGGACCAACGAACCTTATTTAACACCATTTTGGTTTGTATCGATATAGACCACGTATGGTGTTAATTTGGTGTTAAATTGGTCATGAAATTTTGAACAGTGTATGTGATAATTTTTTACAACAATTTGTCTTTTAGTTATTGACATGATGTCTACACATAAGACGCCAATATCGGTGTAAGACCTACAGAGTCGTCTAGGGGCTGGCCGCGGTGGCGACTGCCAGGGGCGCAAACCTCAAGGGGCACACTCGCAGCGCCTACAAGAATCTTTAATCGAAAGTATTTAATAGATCTTTTTTACAATATACTGCTAACACACGATGAATGAAAATATTGCTTATTGTATATCTAAAACTTAAATAGGTATACTTATAATGAACATTACACTTTAAAGTCATTGTAGTGTTTTTTTTTTCACATATAAGTTTAAATGGAGCGAAATTTCAATCTTGTCTAGGGCGCTCAAGACCTTAGCTACGACTATGAGGACCTATATATTTAGTAATCTCATTCGGACAAAAATCGACTTATCCAGTTTTTCCCAAAGGGAACTTATGACATTTTAAGGAAAGACTTGTTATGTCTTTAAAATAGCAATTCGACAAAAACAATTTTATTTCTTTGAAATTTATTATGTTTTTTTCGTAAAATTATAAATTATGTTTGTTTAATTTAGACTTTTTAGTTTATTAACCAACCAAACGATATAGAAAAGTTTTTGTTTCAAGTTACTTTAATCAGCGCCATTTTAAAATTAATATTTTAGGCAATAAACAATAAAAATTAAAAATAGAATAAATTTTTTTTATAGGTACCTATGTAGGTATTTTAAAGCGTAGGTACATTGTGTACATTTTTGTTCTAAAGGACATTTATTTTGGTTTTTGCTTGATTTTACTTATTAATATTGTAACGGTTTTACGGTTCGACAGTGTGAATAAAACACGCACTGATTTATTAACGAACAAAACGATTTATTTTATAACTTAATAACAATTAAAACACTAATATAACTATATAACTATTAGTTAGGTAACTACTAATTATTTATATACCACTACTGTCCAAGAGCCTATTTATTTGCACGTATATTAAATTTATTTCGTCGCGAGTACCAAAGCTTGAAAGGGGTATTTTTTACCCCCAAAAATGGAATGTTTTTAAAGTTTTGTAAAATTGTGTATGGCATGACCATAACATTTTATTTTGTTTATATTAAACATCCGACTAAAAAATCCGCCGTTGTAAAATAAATGCTGACAAAACAATAACTGTAATTAATAAGTAGTTTAAATTACACAGGTCTGCCAATTTTTTTCAATCCGAATTCGACATCAGAATTGCTTTACATGCATTACATCAGATTTTCTAGAAATTTTAACCAAAAATTTCAGTTTTTTTATATTCGAGGTCATATATACTACATCACAAGGTATTTTTTCTCTAAAAAAATTGTGACGTCATTTGAGTTTGCTTTAGGAGTCATTCCAAATAAAAACACCAAATGGGGTGCGCTGCTTGATTTTTTATTTTGATAAAAAAAATTGAGGATGATCTTTTAGGTATCAAATATGAAAATCCGTTGCCGTTTTAATTTTTGGATTCTTTACTTTTAATCGGCACCCTTTAGAAATCTGAAATCGTGTCAATTTCTTACTCTCTTATAGTGGGCCAGAACTTTTTTCTGTGACAAATATTGAAATGATTTTAATTTTGTTTTACTGTTCAGTAAGTGTGTTTTCGATATAAATTATTATTATCCAATTTGTTTATATCATAAAAGAATGGTAAACCACTAAAGATTCATGATAATTTACCAATTTTTGTGATTTTTTTCTGGCTCCTGTGCTAATTCTGCTAAATCTAGAAAGTTGCTTTTTTTCAGGTAGCAAGTACTTATACAATAGAAAGCCTAACTATTATTTTAAGTTTCTAAACTATCATTTTCTTTATGAAAAAAATTATTGAAATTTGATAATTCTTAAAATTAGTCAATTTTGCCCTCAGAAATCTTTATGTTGAGGAAAAAATAAAAATCTGAAACTTTCAGGAAATGTAGTCCCCACCTTCATCTTTTCAGTCCACTTAGTCTTGTTTTGTTATTTTTATTCCTTTAAAAGTTATATTAATTTTTTTAATGCCCGTTTAGTAGCGATATTGTTAGTTTTATTTATAATTTAAAATTTAGATGGCTTTCATGTTTAGTGGAGAAGTGTCAGAACTGTCAAAAATATTTCATAAATATTATTTGTGCGTATTTCTTTGGTAAATTTTGTATATAACATAATATATCATATTATGTTATATACAAAACTTTTTAAAATCACCAAAGGAATACCACAAATAATAATTATGAAATATATGTTATATTTTATGTATTGTATATGATTATATATTATATACATTATAATGAAGTATTTAATTGGCTAATTGGTGTATAAAGAAGAAGAATGTAAAAAAAATATATTCAAGATCCTTATGGTTTAGGTATATCGTAAAGTATAATAAGTGAAATTAATAAAGAGTTACTTTAAACGTATAAAAAATGCGTTAAGCAGTTTTTTGTCGGTTTCTTTCACAATTTAAACCAAGTTAGTCTTGTTCTATTATTTTGATCCCTTTAGTAAGGCACTGAATAGTTAAAAGTTATATGTAGGTATTTTAAATGTTAGTGTTGGTAAAAAATGTACACAATCTGTAAATACTTCTTTAAATTTTAGTTTTTAGGTAACTGGTTAAAATAAAACATGTTATAATAAAGGGGTTTATTTGGAATATTTTTTGGTTTTTGCTTATTTTTAACAATTTAAAACTTCTCAGAACTTGAATATTTTCTATGAGAAAGAGGTACAAAATTATAATATGTTCTTGCATTAAATTCATGAGTCTCGAACACTCCGTCATTTATTACACTTGCAAACTTGCAAACTTTTTGAAATCACAATTTAAATACACACAAATAATATTTATGAAATATTTTTGACAGTTTTGACATTTCTCTACCAAACATGAATTGAATAAGTCAAAGCCATCTAAATTTTAAATTATAAATAAAACTAACAATATCGCTTCTTAACTGCATTAAAAAAAATATTATATCTTTTACATGGATAAAAATAACAAAACAAGACTAACTAGACTGAAAAGATGAAGGTGGGGACTACATTTCCTGAAAGTTTCGGATTTTTATTTTTTCCTCAACATAATGATTTCTGAGGGCAAAATTGGCTAATTTTGAAAATTATCAAGTTTCAATAATTTTTTTAACAAAGAAAATGATAGTCTAGAAACTTAAAATAATAGTTACGTTTTCTATTGTATAAGCAGGGCCGGCCCGACGTTTTTTGCCGCCCCGGGCAAGGATATTTTTGCCGCCCCCTTTTTATTCAGCAGGAATAGGAAAAAAAGTAGTTAAACTTAATTATTTTTTTCAGTTTTTTTTTATTTTTTATAAGAGTATTTTTACTGTTAAATATTTAACATAATTGCATCACTTGTCAATGATTATATCCTATATATTATTATTATAGTGTCACTATTATAGCGAGTATAATTAAACAATATTGTTAAATACAAGAATTCTTTGGTTTGTTGAAATTTACTTTAGAAATATGCCGCGATAGCTCAGATAATTACATAAGTAATTGCTGTTAAAATATCGTATTTTTAATGTAAAAGTATATGGACCGAGTGCACCCGAACATTTTAAGTAACTTACTTACTTCAGCTGAATCATCTTTAAAAGTAAATTAACTCAATAATTACGTAATGAGTTTAGCGAATGCTGCTGTGATGCACGTCAGATCATTGAGCTCTAAAAACAATGTTAAGATGTACCTATACTGTATAGGTTGTTGTATAGTATACAACAAACATAAAACCTCATTTTCACATGGATAACGTTTATCGAAAAGGAACCAAGCGCCAAAAACTTTTTCTGGGGTAGACAAAATTATTTGAAAAATGACTCATTTTTAATGCTGCTCAAAAAATTAATAATGATTTGGGAACCCTCTCAATCCTTTTGAGAAAAGTTCCAAATGAAGATTAACCTTTTGAGCATTATTAAAAATTATTTTACAAATAATTTTACTAAGCTCAGAAAAAGTTTTTTGGCGCTTGGTTCCTTTTCGATAAGAGTTATCCATAGGTATATGCAATATTGTTTAATTATAGTATAATTATTATACCTGCCCATGATGGTTTTTTGCAAGAATTTGGAGAAGGTTGCTGCTAGTACTCATTTTCCGCCTCACGCGCCCTTCTTTTGTTTTTATAAAAAGTTCCTGAATCTTTTTTGCGTTTTTCAGACTTTTATACTTCTAATTATCAAACTACCTTAGCAATGCACTGATTTTACAACGTACGATCGTGATATATTTTTGTATAGATTTGTCAATTATTAATTGTCAATTGTCAAACACAAGTATAGAAAACTACAGGATGTGATTGAAGAAACGAATGAAAGAGGGAGTCAGGGTCGTCTTCCAAGAGCGCCTCTATTAAATCTTTGTAATAAAGATATTAAATTATCTAATCTGCATTT